TGGTATCCTGCTGAATCGAGATGCGGTTAGTCATCAGACTGCCGCCTCAGAAGAACTAGCTCACACGGTCTTTAGCGATTAGCAAACGTACCCTGGTCAAATGGATGTCGATCCGCCAAATTGCTAACCCTCAGTCTCTCAACGAGGACACCCCCTTTCAATTGGTTTGGTGACCCCGGCCCCTCTGCAAGCGTACAATCTCTCCACTCACTCTTTACCGTCCGGCTCGGTAGACTGATCGACACTCCAGCGGATGACTGGGTCTGCGCCCTGCTGGTCTGGCCGTCACTTTGGCCCACAACGCGAGCCGCATGTTAGTAAACAGGCGGTTCTCCGGCCTCACATCCCGCCCCTCAGCCCTTTAGCTTAGCAGAACTGGATAGCACGGTGGCCACCAGGTAGGCCTCAAATCCCCGTGACTTACCTCCCATCAACAAGAGGGACAAAAATCGATCGAATCCTGCACTGAAAACTTGGAACTCTACGGTGTCCCCCTGCTACACGTTCCAGTACGAACTTGTAAACAGGAAACTCTTCCTCCCTCAGCTGTCCTCATGTTGCTACCACCGAATAGGCGAGCATCCCGCTAGCCCCCAGGTGAGTTTCTGACAACACGACCGTCATCATGTTGTTCCCACCACCGCCCGAACGTTCAACGCGTCGTCTGACAGCCACTTGCTCAGGTAAACAACTCGCCTGATTCTTTCGCTCCTATGCGGCCGCACTCAATATGAAGAAAACACTTTGGATCGCGCGATTGACTTCCCCTATGGATCGTTCGTCCAGAAGCAAGCAAAATCCAAATGAATCTTTAGCTAAAACTCGGAAAGATTCATTGCTAACTCCACGTTCCCTTTCCGAGCACAACTCCTGGCTGACACACCTCCAAAACTTAAACACTAATCTCCGAATCTAGGAAAAGTCCCCCGACTGCAGAGTTCCTTCTCTACGGTTTCCCTTTACTTATTTCCATCATGGATTGAGCGAAAGATTCGCCCCTTCACGCGACCATCTCCAGTCCCGAGTAGCACCACGAGGTCGCCTTTTCCTACTAGCCTACTAACAACTAACTTAACATTCGTATTAACGTCGTAGTCAGATTCGCGCAACCTCACAGACTCTTAATCAACTGCTCTTTTCCATCTTACTCGTGAGTCTGGGGATGTCTTCGTTATTGCTCTCCACCATTTCCCGCACTCCCTTACGCACAACTTTTCTCTCCTACCATACTACTCTCTCCTCTTTTCGCTAGACGAAGCCTACCATTCGTTCGCCCGGGTTAAAATATCAGTCTAGCCTTTTCTCTCACTCGGTTTCGTTGAGAATCGAGTGAGCTAATAATTTCCTTGCCCCCTCCATAGCCTCTTACCTCCTCCTTGTGCCTGAACGCACCTGACGCGTCCTTGCGCCTAAGTTCATTCCACTTTGGCTGTAGCCCGTCACTCCGCCCCCAGTCTTTGGATAGTGTCGCCCTCGACCGCTCTCGGCCTACGGTCGGACTCCGCCGCTCGCCCCCAACGCATCGGAAGTCGGACGCATCGTCTCACTTCCACATCGACAACTACAGGCTGAGAAAACAACGGATGCCCCACTCGTCCAAAGCCTTTTGGGACAAACCGAAAGTTTCCATCTGTGTACGTGGGCGCAAAAAGAAAAGCGCCCCACAACAGCTTACCCAAATACTCCGTTCTGTCAGTACCCGACATCGCCCTGGTCCAAGTTCACTTCTACTCATTACCTTATTTTCCTCACATCAACTCATTTTCTTGCTTACTTTGGAGGGAGCCCAATACTTACCAATTTCGACAGGGAGGGGCTCGCCTGCTCCTATGCCCAATCCCATCAGACAGCTACCAGGCAGCGCAACTACCCTTCCCCAATTTCCATGCAGGCGAATTCGACGACCCTCTGTATGTCAATATGGTCGCGGCCTCTGGCTCGCTCCCTTCCGACACCGGTCCGGCCCTTTGCGGCCCATAGATAGTTACCGGTTTCGGGGTCGCCGGCTTGCTGTAGGCCTGTAGTATGGTGGCTGCCAGGACAAGCCCCGACAGAGACCCTGACAGCAATAGGAAGCACCTAATCAGATTAAAAAAAACTTTTGAAGCCCATATGCATCCGTAGGCTCTTCGTATCCGCGGCCCCTTCCATCGTGCCCGAGACTGTCCCTCCCTGGCCCAGCCTTCGAGTCCCACCGGCATGCTCGCAGTGAGTTCTCTCCCAGCAGACAACGCGACCAGGCCGGTACGCTCGTCAGCTGGCCACGACCAGCCCCCGCATGTTGGACACCTTATCGCTGGTTTTCACGTTAACTCCTCAGCCCCTGTCTCAAAACGGCAGGGATGGAGGAATATCGCCTGTATTTCAAGCACTCAGGAACCCGGACTTGGGTTTGTCCCTTAACAATTCAAATGGCGCGCCCATTGAGCTAGGCTCATGGGTCTGTCACACCCCTAATGCGCCGCTTCGCTGCTCCCGCGCCGACGCCCACCGGCCTCGACCCCCGAACCTCCGTAGTAGTTGTCCGATGCCGTAACCTATAGGGCTAAGCCCAAGCCTGGTACCAGTGGGCGCGAATCTCCTAGTAAGAGGTAGCCCACGGCCTCTAGGGCCAAGGAACCGCCCAACGCCACTTCTCGGCCCGCACTTGCACGCCGGCCTACATGTCGTGTCGCGGCACCCTTCCCTAACCGAATCCATCAGGTCCCATCATCTGGATTCCGTGTACGTCCACCCCGGCTCACTGAACCGTCCACCGTACCCCGCGGAACCAGAAAACAACGCACCCATGGTTAGTCAGTTTAAAACAAACAACTGATACAATGCGGCACGTCGACCAAAATCCACGCCGCGTCTTCCATCGTAATTAAAAAGGGAATAAAAATCACGCGCGTCTCAAACCTGCGCGCCCACACACTCTCTAACCTGGTCGATCATTCGGTCGACGTAGCTCTTAGACATCGCTGCGTCTTGCGCCGCATACTCAAACCTTTAGACTTAGCTTGTTTTCTATCACTTGCCAAAACCAGGGCGGATACCCTTGTAAGGGTATTCGCACCAACAGCTTACCGGACCATATTAAGTGACGTCTTCGTCGCTTCGCAGGATCAAAGCTATCAATTCAACCACACTCCCAAAAGTGCTGACGAGCAGGGTACCAATCGGATTGGCCGACAGACCAAGGGTTGAGGCCTCCAATAATCCATGCCAAACACAACTTTATGCTGCCAGGATTCCAACCAAGGTCTCCGTCACCTGGACATTCGGACGTCAGGATACTCCCCATTGTACTACAGCATAAGTTCCATTGGATCTTTAATCGTCCTCTCCCCTGTGCCCTAGACAACCGCCGACTTCTCGTTGTGTGCCCCCAACCCTTCCCCTGAAACCCAAAGTCGTGACTAGGGGCGCGGGCCCTAACCGAGACCTTTGAAGACTTTCCCTCGCCCTCCTCTCAAAAATCTTCACATTAGGCACATGTAAATATACCGTATAGATCTCTACATAAACCTCCCTGTAGTCTAGTATAGGAAGACTAGGTCTCCATCTTGGCCCACCATAGTCTGGATGATCATTCCAGAACTACGGCCCACCGCATTGTTATTTCAGCGGTAGTGCTTTCGTGGGTTGCGCCACGATAGGTTGTTCTTGATAAACGTTCAATCAAGACTTCCTCAAAAAACTCATATGACACGACTCTTATCCCACGCCTCTCCGCAGGAGTAAAACCCTCTTAGGCGTTCTGACCCCCTTAAGTCTTTACTCCCTTGGACAGACGCAGACCCCCTGCTCAGGTTGTGCCAAACAGCGGCCAACACTAAGGGTTGCGCCTTAGTGATACTAATTATACCCCTAGCTGGGTCTCTTATAAATGTTCAAGATTAACACAAGCGGTCGGGCGGTGTGTCGCAACAATACAAGCCTACTGCGGAACTTCGCATAGACATGTCGCACATAAAGGTATTTACCTGTCTCTCTGTGGGACAACACAGAGGGAGCACGACAACCTCTTCACGATCACAAAACAAAATCACCGCCTGATTCACAAGGTCGTGGCCTCCCAGCTTGATCAGAGAAAGAAAGTCACACATCTTGACGACATCTCTCAAAATGCACCATTTGCGACATCCAAAAATTCCATCAATAGTCCACAAAATTTGATCCCTCTCGTCAGTTTTTATTACTCAAAGTCACCCTTCCATTTATCAATCTTATTAACCATCTCACATATAGAAGAGGTCTCACTTCAATAGGTCTCTCATTCATCCTTTTTTTTCGAGGATGAACTTTCTCGCGCTTCCAAATAGATAATGGACAACCTTTCCATTCACAGGTGTCCCACTCATCATATGATCAATATAAAAAGACCAACTTATGAGTCTTCTGCACAGCTCAACAATGAAACACTCACCATACAAACATTCAAGATCCTTACACCCTCTCACAAAACAGACTGCGCTTCCTTGCCTTATACTCGGCCCTCTCATCTGCCCATGGGCAGATCGCACGAGTATACCGGCGAGTAGGCAGTTCACATCCATTCAAAGTTACAAGGTACAAGATACATCAGGTATTTTCTCGCACATATTTCACACCAAACCATCATCCATCATGCCAGGTCCACACGAGTGAGTGTGAGAGTCATCGTCATACACAACAAGTAGTCCCCAAAAAAAAGTCTCAAAATAATATACACTCAGGGATAAAATATCCCATATAAAATATCTCCAATATACACTCAGGGGTAAAATATCCTGTAAAAAAAAAAAAACGTCTCCACACTGTGACTCACTCAACTCACTCAAATCCACACTCACAGTGATGTCGTTCTCAAAATACAAGTTGGGTTTGTCTCTCGAAGGTCAGGGTGTAGGCCACCTAAGTATGTACATGCCTCATCTATCCTGTCCTGGCCCTCAAGATGGGGACTCAACAAAAACCCAACCCAAACTGCCCGACAATTGCAAACAACACCTAGGTCTACAGGATGTCATCGAATCCTAACTCTAGTCCTATACGCAACATGTCAACCATATAGGTAGCTCAGTCCTGGTCGCTCATCTCCTCCTCGTTTTGCCTATATAGTTGAGCCCTACCCCCATCTGCAGATCTCTCTACCATCTTGCCCTGTCTATCATACATCCTGCCCCCTTCCTCGGTAACCTTCCCTTCAGCCTTGTCCTTTAAGAACTTAGGACATTGCAATACTCGATGCCCCTCCTTTGTACAGAAGAAGCAGGATGTATCGAACCACTTCCTGGACCTTTTCTTTCCTCTCCGAGACCCTGACGATGATGGTGCTTCGCTGGCCTCCCTGCTCAGCTCATGGCTCTGAGGCATATCCAAAGGCTTCTCTCCTGTCTCCACCTGTTGGGTATTCGGCCCTGGTCGATCCTCAATCCCCTCTGGCCCATACTCAGGTGTGCTCAACCTCTGGAGCCCGCCCTCGATGACACCCTCCGCCTCAATCCCCATCTCTCTCTCAAGAGGCTCGTCTATCTTCTGTCCAGGCGAAAACAAACTCGCCTCGTCCTGCATCGAGTGTACTGCCTCAAGGAGCACGTCCAGGGGTCCCTCTGCTGAGCCTTGATCTGACTCACTGCTAGATGGTGGTAGCCCCTCCTCAACTGCCAAAAGTACGACTGGGTCTGCCGCCGCTACAGGTAGCGTCGCGAGCTCAGTAGGGGCTCTGAACTCGAAGGCCTCTCTCTCTGCCTCCCTCTTGGCTCTCGCCTCCTCTAGCTCCACGATAACTCTCCCCATGGGAGGCTCCTGGCGAGGCTCTGCTGCAGATGACTGTCCTGGCAACCCATGTCCTGGCTGCCTCTGCTCTCGCTGCCGGCTGCTCTCTGGCTTGTCCACCTTTCCCTGAGTTTGTTGCCTCAGGCTCTCGATGATAACTGCCTGACTAGCCACCGATTCCCTGAGTTCCTGGATTTCCACCTCCATAGCCTCCAGGCGTACTCCATGGCCTTCTTCCTTCGTCTTTTTCCCTGCCAGATCGCTGTCCAATAGCAAGTGCCGGTCAAAAGTTGTCTTGGCCAGGAACTTGATTTTGCGATCCAACCTTTCTTCTGCTTTCCTTGCTACCCCAAACCCGGCTCTGGTCGGCGAGGGAAGCTCCTTTCCTCTCTGCTCCCAGAAGTCCCTCCACATCTCTGGGATTTCCGGGCTCCTAGCTGGCTCGCTGGGTGGTTGACCTGGGAGTGCCCCTGCTGCCTCCAATCTCGGCCTCTCTTGCCATATCTCTTCTATTCTCATGGTCCTTCTCACCCTCTTTTCTTCATCCGTTTCTCCAGTTGGCGCCCTCTCCCTCGTGCGGAGGTGGACCCTCTTTGGGATCTCTGCCTCCACCTCTTTCTCGAGCTGGCACGGCTCCTAGCGCGGCTCTGCAGGTGCTGGCTCCTCCAGGTCTTGGTGCTCCAGGGCATGAGCCGCTAGGTGTCTGTCAATCAGGGCCAAGGCTTCTCTCCTCACAGCGGCAGCCTCTCTTCTCCTTTCTGCTCTTCCCTCCGGCGAAGGAGCCTTTTCTGATGAAGGCAATGGGGCCTCTTCTCCCTGCAACCTCTCTGCTGCCTGGCGAAAGCTCCCTGGGCATCCTCGAGTCTCAAACCCACCGCTGGCGTCTGAGGGGGCGTGTCCTCTTCAACCTCTATCACTTCCTTCCCTGCACGTCTCCCCTCATCGCCCAACCCTCTCTCTTGCCGAGTATCCTGGACCTCCTCCCGTGGCATCCCCTCTCGTGGTACCTTCTCTTGTGGCACCTCCTCTCGTAGCACCTCCTCTTGTGGCACCGCCTCTGCCTATTCTCCATGCTCCTCACGCCGAGGCGACACTCTCCACCGAGAGATATCCAAATGCGCCTCCAACTCCCTCAAGGGCTCCTCAGACGTTGGCGGCTCCTCCTGTGTGCGTGCTGGCGACCTCCTCAGTCCACTCTCAGTAGAACGATGGAACTCCACTGGTCCCAGTCCATACTCAGGATACGCCCCTCGCTCCTCATCATCAGGCTCCGCCTCCTCCTCCCTCCTGGCTAGGGCCTTCCGTCCCCCTCGAGATGGCCTTGCCTCGCTGGGCTCAGGGTCCCTCTGTCTCCTGCTCCTCTGGCGCCTCTCAACTCGGGGCCGAGGCGACTCTGGCCGTCGAAAGGCCTCGCTCAGGTGTGCCCTGCAGCTCTCCCAGTCCCGGGCCATGTCTCTAACCTGCCTAGCCAGCGGTCTTTCCGCCTTCCTGGCCCAAAGTGGTAGTGTCTGCATCCAATCGTCTCTCGGTATACCTTGCCCCTGCATGAACCACTCAAAAGCGGGGATGAAGTCCGACGCATTCCCGACCTCCAGGCGGATCGGCCTGCCATCAGGTCCCACACGCGAGGGTCACAGCTCCTGCATCCTCATCTCCACCTCTGACGTCGTCGTCGCCTCCCTACGGATCTGCGCGACGGGCCCCTTGAATCTGTCGACTCCCCTCAACCTCTCAATCTCTTGGGTCACGGTCCAGCCCATACGCCGCGCATGCTCCCAGAAACTATCCAGGAATAGCTCGACGTCGCCACCATCGTACTCCGGAGTGCTCTCTCGATGGCGAGGTCCATGCCGCTCGTAACCTCCTGATGCGCCCAACGGCCTCCAAGGCGGCCGTGTCCCCTTCCCTCCTCTTGGCATGGTTGTCTTCGTAAAGTCAGACCTGCACAACAGGCGAAAGAGACAACAGGCACACATTGGGGTAAGCAAAACAGGTGATAGTCAAAGCAAGCTCAGACCAGACCATACTCAAGCAGCATGCAACCTATCTAACCTACACAACCTATCGCTTACATTCTAAAGGTAGTTAGATCATCTCTCTTACCTCCTGTTTCGCCACAAATTTCTTCAATCGCGTTCCAGATACCCAATCCTTCCACTCAGTCTCATTCAGCTCCTCAATCTGGTACGCTCCGAAGTCTCCAACCCGTATGATCCGGTAGGGACCTAACCACCTCTTATCGAGTTTCCTGGACCACCGCTTCTCGAAAGATGAATCGTAGAGGAGCACGGCGTCCCCAACTGCCAAGGGCACTTTCCTCACCCGCGCAGACTGATCCCATCGAGCCTTATCATCCATACGGCTTTTCGCCACCTGATCAGACGCCTCCTGGATCCTTTCTTCTATCGCCTCTATCTGCCGCGCCCGAATATCGAGTAACTCTTCGAATGATAGGCTAACTTTCAGATCCTGGCGTCTCCATGTCTTAAGAAAGCTCTCGACAGGGAAGGTGGCGGGCCTTCCATACCACAGCGTCGCAGGTGCGTACTTGGTGGATCTTTTTACTGTAATGTTATCGACAAAGAATGTCCCCCTTAGGTACCTTGGCCATTGATTAGGCCTACCTTCGGTCCACTTAGCCAGAAGGTTCGTAATGGTACTGTGTCCTCTCTCCACGGGAGCATTTGCCTGGGGATGCGCGGCCGTGGTGTAGTTGGCTGCGACACTATACCTTGATAACAATTCCTGCACTTCCTGGCAGGTAAACTCCGATCCCCTGTCCATTATGAATTCCCTGACGAAAGGATAACGCAGGTAGTACTCCTCGATGCAGCTAACCAAGACTGAAGCAGTCTTGGTACGGATGGCACACCCATCTACAAAGCCCAGACAAGTTATCGTGCATATCGAAGATATAATTATAGCCTTGATCCCCAAGCGACATGAAAAGTAGGTCGACATGCACTACAGCCCCCACATCCCGCTCTAGCCTTGGATGCAGCGGCTCTCCTTGCCTTAAACGGGATCTCTCCTGACAGGATACGCAAGATCGACATAATTCCCCGATCATGTTCATCATTCAATCCCAGTAGTACAACTCACTTATTTTGGCATACGTGGCTTGTACCCCTCGATGCCTTCCTGCAATGTCGTCATGAAGTGTTGCTATGACGTCAATCTGACGGTTTCTACCGCAGACGACTCTCCTGGGATTCCCCACTTGTCTTCTTACGAAAAGGTGGCCGTCTCGTACTAAGTAACGCTGCAGCATCCTCTGAGCCCTATCGCTCGCGTCCCTTAGCCGTACTTTGCAAGACAAAAGGAGTCCCAGTTCTAGGTAGATCCTGTCATACTCCTCTGCACGAAAGGCCTCCTTAATTTCTCCTTCCTCGAACTCGTCCTCCTGGCTCTCGGACACTTCGTCCACATTCCCTGACGGGTTTAACGAGCCGAACTGGTCGAGGCTTTCTTGCAATAACGTGTTGACGTGGAGATACATTCCTCCCATCAGGTCCTCATGCCGTTCTTACTGGCCTGGTCCTTCCTCGATCGTCCTCATGTCCTCCACCAGATTATGCGAACTAGCCAGCGCCAACTCCATCATCCACTGAACATCCTTACCACCCCGGGGATCTTCTTCCTCAAAAAGCTTAAGGACTAACTCCGCCTTCCATTCATATCCACTCGGCGCTTTCCAGATAGGATGGCCCACACAACCGGGCATTCGCAGCGACCACTTGTGAATGTGGAGGCGGACATCTTCCTCTTGATCCAAGAATTCATCAACTGGGGGCGTATTCTCCACCGCCTCTCCTTCTTGACCATCCCAGTTGATACGACTCAGCCCGTCCGCCCAGTTCTTGTTTCCAGGGATCCGTTCTAACTCAAAGTTAAACATCCAGATGTACGTCAACCACCTGACAACTGTTGGATCCGATGGAAAGTAATTCCTGCGAGAGTAGGCCAGGGCGGTCGGGTTCACTCTCAATATAAATCTCCTGCCAAAGATGTAGTTTTAGAAGATTCGCAAACAGTGGAGGACGGCGACGGTCTCTCTCTTGAACTGAGAATAGTTTCTCTCGTTCGTTCAGAGAGTCCGACTCTCAAACCTCAAAAACCTTTTTTTTCCCTCCGTGTCTGCCTGGACTAAAACTCCACCCAACGCAGTTGGTCCCGCATCCGTTTCAACGATGAAGGGCCTTATTTCCGTGGCGTGATAGTCTGGCGCCACCAACACCAAACCCCCTTCTCGGAATTCTTCCTTCATTCTGGCCACTACCTCTTCCTGCTCTTCGCCCCAAAACCACTCCTGATCCTGATGAACTAACTTTCTCAGGTGTTCAGTCTTTGCGGCAAAGTTTTTGACGAAGGCTCTCCTAAATCCGCACGTCCTGAGGAATCTCCGGACATCCGTTATTGAGTGGAATGGAACTGGCCATTCAGTAATCTTGTCCGTCTTCTTTATATCAAGTCGTCGGCCCTTCTCACTGCAGACGAACTCTAAGATAGTCGCTTCCCTCATACAGTGTCTGGATTTGGCCCCACTCGCCTTGAGATTATGTTCTTCGAGCAAGGTCAAGACCTTTTCAAGGTTCTGGATATGCTTCCAGACAAAACGCCTCACCCCTGGCAAGACTTCGTCACTCTCCTTTACTGGTGGCCCTTTCACTGCCAAATCATCAATATATGGCTGAGTGATATGTGGGCTGACTGACTGCATGACCCGAATCATGGCTCGTTGGACCATCGCTGCTGCATTGGTCCATCCTTGCGGAGCCACATTCATGTGGATTAATCCTCGAGGCGTATGCATAGCTGTCACTGGCTTGTCCAACGGATAGACCGGAAACTGGTCATATCCTGCGTAAAGGTCTATAAGCGAAATTATAGGCCTTCCAACACAGGATTCCGACAGCGCGTCCGCGTTGGGCAACCCTCCTACATCTCGCACAGTCACCGCGTTTAATCTCTGCAGGTCTTGCACCCACTACAGCGTCCAGTTAGGTTTGAAAAAACAAAACCACGGGGACGCATACGGCCCACTTGAGTAGTCGGCGACATGCGTGCGTATTTTGTTGTCGAGGTAATCCACCACTTTCTTCTCCTCGTTAGGATTAGGATATCGCGCCCCTCTTAGATTCCATGGTTCGTGCGACACGGTATGAATGCGGATCATAGGTATCTTGTTCACATCCAATCTGCCACGCTCCTCGTCATTAAACGCATAGGCGCGATGCCTTTTTTTCATTAGCTCTACCATCAAGGTTCGTTCCTGAGGCAATAGGAAGTCGGACTCTCCTATGATCAACTTCTCCTCATTCCCTTTGTTGATACGGCATAGCTCTGTTGTGGCTTTCTCCTTCATCCGCCGTATCAACCCTCGCTCTCGCTCATACTACACCTCCTCGTCCTCAGTAACGAGGACGTGGACTGGACGACACTTCTGATCTACCGTCTTGTACCGCCTTTGGGAACCCTGCTTGAGCCGCCCCCTAAAAAAGGCCGACTCACGGATTGCGCTTGCATCAGTGCAGGTTTCCTCCTACCATCCGGAAGACGATATACCAGCTCCAATCTCCCTGGCTCGGGGCATTCCAGGACCTTCTCCCTCAATGCCCGGATGGCATCCGGATCTGTCATCTCATGTGCGGCCACCATATCCATGGCCTTTCCCACGTCCGACAGGCTGAGGGAGAATGCTTCAACCCTCTCTTCCTCTTCTCGCTCCGCCCGGAGCCGCCGGCGCTCGCCCTCCGACTCTTCGATTGTGAAAGACTCTGAATTGGGCCGGTTCCTTATGCTTTTCGGCCCCGTATTCCTGCAGGTGATCACCTCATAATTCCCACAGGCAGAGTCGCATAGGAGGAGGATCAAGGTCCCGTCATGCTTATTGAATATCACGGTTTTCGTCCTGCTAAAAAATGACCTCCCTAGGAGGATTCCGTGATCCACGTCTGGCATGACGAAGAAGCATGCCCTGACTTTTACCTTCCCAACCTCGATGAACACATTCGAGGTTGTCCCACAAAACACGGCCCTACAACTTGCCCCATGTAGAACGCCACAGTCAGATCGGTCTATATCCAGTGCGAACTTGATGTCATCCGCCTCCCGGATTATATTCATCTCCGCCCCTGTGTCGACCATCGTCGTACACTTGGAGCCCTTCACTACCAAATCTAGTGTGCCACAGGCCACACACTTCCAATCCATCTTCGTGCCCGACTCTGCCCACTCCGCCTCCTTTGGCAGGATTGTACCCAGATGGACGTTGGGCACCAGACGCCGCGACAACCTCCCCTTCAATCCATCGCGGAGCTTAAAAGCTGACGCTAGGATCTCCTTCAAGGTCATGAGGTCGTTATGTCCTTCTAACAACCTAGCAATCACCTTCTCCACGTCGAACACTTCTTCCAACCGAACCGCGTATTTCTTTTTTCTGGGCGGTACGTCGCGCAGGATCGGCTCGGTCTCTTCCCTGGCTTCTTTCTTCTTAGCCCTTTGCTCCGCCCTCTGATCCTCTTCTTGGCGCAACCTTTCATCTTCTTCTTCCTCATCGTCATCATCCTCCACTTCCACTACCTCTTTCCTTCTTCCCGGCTCAGGCTCTCTGTGGGGAGGTTCTTGGCTAGCACTGGCCTTGGCCTGATTTCGCGTTCGCGCTGCCTGCGCCAGCCGGGCCTGAGGGGTAAGAGGTCCCATTGTCACCCCTGATCGTGGGCCCGATCCTACTATATTTACCCCGGGTCGCCCGGCCGCTGACTCTGGGCCGAAATCATACAGGAACACCTTGGGGACGTTGGACCTCCATTCCCTTACCCCTTCACAGAAATTCACCAACTTTCGCTGGTACCTTCCCATCTTGTCCAGCAAGTCCTCAATTTTTCCCAGCAAGGCGGACGGAGGTTCCATCTTTTCTTCCTCATTTTCATCATCCGACTCGACTATTATGGGCTTTTCCCTCTTATCCCCTGCTCGTCACTCCTGAGTTACTTCCTCATCGCTCCCTACTTCCTCTACCCCAATTGGTGGTCCTTCCTTTTCCTGCCATAGCGTGACCATGGCAGGGGGTGGTGGCCCTGCTACCGCCCTTCGTTGGGCTTCCGCTCTCACTCCCCCGAGCCTTCTGTCGATGAATTTCCCAAACTGATGATAAATGTTTCTGTCCATAGTGGAGGAAATCAGCCCGCTTTTCTCGTCCTCCCGCCTTATGTTATAGAACCTTATAGTGTAGCCTTGCTGGTCACAATGCTGGCAGATGGCCGACCTCCAGTCAAAACGGGGCCTCCCATACCCTTGACTTCCCTAATCCCCCTGGCCTTGATACCCCTGGCCTTGGTATCCCTGGCCTTGATTCCCTCGGCCTTGATACCCCTGGCCTTGGTTCCCTTGGCCTTGGTTCCCCCGGCCTTGACCATTTCATTGCCCTCCTCGTCCGCCGTCATTCCTTCCTCGCCCCTTTCCTCCACCCCTCCCCCCGTTGCCTTGATTGCCCTGCCCCTGGTTCCCACCTCCAACCACGCTTCCCTGTGAACTAGGAGCGGGGCGGTGGGGCCATAGGCTGGGCCTGGGCTGCGAGATAGATAGGGGGTGGCATACTCGTTGGCGGCCCAGCATAAGGTACTACTTGTCCAGAAGACGTCGACCCTCCCCAAGGCACATAAGTGTTAATCACGGGCCATGGCCACTGCCCAAAAGGTGGTACTGGCGTCTGCGAAGGGCCTGCACTAATTGAAGGTGCCGACGCACTCGGGGAGGCAGCTACCAACGCTTGGGGCCTCTGACCCTTTCCCAAACCTTGCCCCCCTTACGTCACATTGTGCTGCCGGCGCTGCACTTTCGAAAGGTGCGGAGGTACCGTCTCCCCTTCTTCCCACCCTTTCTGGGCAACTTCCTCTATTATGGGCTCTTTTGTTTTTCCCTGAATCGCCGCCGCCACCTTTCTCTGTATCACCGGGTCTAACTCTGTTAGTATGTTGGTGATAATTTTCCTTACTCTTGGAGTTTCGGATGTCGTATCATCCCTCTCCTTTCTCTTCTGCCTTTGCAGCCTTACCTGGTGGTACTCCTCCTGGTCTAGGCTCCCATCTTCTACCCCCTTGTCAATGGTGGCCCAGGTGAGCTTAGTACTCCCTTCTCCATGACTTGTCAACTCCTGGGCCTCCGATGCAGTAAGTAGCCCCAAAAAGATAGCACACTGTGTCTCCTCAGAGATCCCATTGACCTTCCTTGCCCTTTTCTTAAACTCCTGTACGAAGGCCCCTATCGTAGTGAAGTTATCCTTATTCATTACTTTCAGGTCTCCCGTAGTTAGCAGGTCATCGCCCCGCCTGTACTTCCTTTGCATTCCCTCTCTAAACCTGGCCCAATTGCCGTTGGCGTTATTGACCACCCTCTACATCTCTTGATGGTGCCCATAAAGCATATATCTCATGATCCGCTGGAATTTTACCGCATCCGCTAGCCCCACCATTGCTTGTTCCACCTCATCCAGCCAGTCTGAGACTCTCTCTCCATTAAAGTGAAAGGTATCGACCTTAGGGACATTGCTTGGGGTCTTCTCATGCCGGTCAATGGCCGCAATAAGGTCCTCAAGTGTCAGGACCTTCCTGGTGCCATCTGATACACCGTCACTTTCCGGCATCTTGACACCCTTTTCCTTCAGGCTCCCTGTTAGAAAAAAAAAAACAAGGATACTCACCTATTCAGCATCCTATCTCAAGAGGGTCTATCCTGTATGCCCTTTCTAACTTCCTCATATACTTATCTGACTCGAATACGGGCATTCCTCATAGCCTTCCTAACTCAGGTAGGTAGACAGGGCGGACATACAACGTTACTAAGCCTCCCTACTTATACTTAGTCACTCATTATTTTCCTTACATTCTCATCATTCCTTTATACCTATTCTCATTCAATCTCATACCCGGATGTCGTTCCACCAGGGACAACGGTAGGCAACCGTCGTCCCCGGCAACGGCGCCACCTATCGAGCGCATTGGTCCGGCACCGCACCAGGGCAGCGCGGGACCCTCCCGGCCGCGTCACGCAGGAGTGGGTTTAAACCCTTCGTCGCAATATACATGGAGCTTCCATAAGCTGCTCCGGCCGAGTGACCAGCCATACCTCTCGCGAGCCCCTGCGACAGGATAGGGCCTACGCGAGGCACGACTTACCTACACCTTATGGGAGTTGTCACCTCCCTTCGGTGGGCGTATCCCCGCCGAGCTACCAGT